GAAGAAAGTAGCTAAAACAATAAAACAGACAAAAATTTGCCAGCAACAATTTTAAATATAGGAACAGTTGGTGTTTTGGTGGGGAGACAAGGTGAAAGGGGCATATTTCATTTCAGCCCATCGGATGGATTGTTGCCTCAAATACATTCTTGCGATCATCGTTAACGGAGTAAACCACTAACAGGAACCATATTGGCTTCGGATTAGCACCTAAAATAAAAATTCTGCCTACAACAAGTGCAAAATTGCCTCAATCTAACACTCCAGACCTTGCCACATGTAAGAAATTATATTAGACACAAAAAACTAATAAAGTCATTGTTCTTTTAACTGAATTATAATAAAATTTCTATAAAAATGAAAAAAACAATTTCCTTTCTTTCATATCTCAACCAATTAGAGCAAACCTAATTAAGTAATTAAGTCTCTCACTCCTCTTAAAGCATGACCTAAAAAGTGAGAAAGGTTACAAAAAAAAGACAGCTCACACACCTCAAGGATCACACTCACAAATTAATAAACCACACATAAACAAATAAAAGCACAAACTTTACCCCTAAATCTCGATCAAATTACCAATTCTAACATTCTCACAGATCAACAACCACAACAAACAACAGCAAAGCCTTAACCCCATAACAATTCGGCATCGGCTAACATGAATCGTCATACATTCAAAACCATCCCCAAAAAGTGGAGCAGCAGGAAAAATCAGTAAACAAAGTAGAGTGCAAAATTCACACAGATCAAACAAAAACAAAATTTAAGAACCCTAAAAAAAATTACACAAAATTAAGGGGTTTTTTTTACAGACCTGAAACCATCAAGAACAATGGGATGATCATCAGAATTAGACTCAGAAGAACTAACACTGGAAACCGAGGCGGAACCCGAAGCTAATAACCCAACACCACCATGACTACCATGATCAACAGCAACAACCCCAGAATTCGTAGGCCTAGGAAGAGGATGACCCACAACTTTTCTCTCACAATCTGAATCAAACCCAGAAATCCCAGATGAAGCAGCACCATTTCCAGAACTTCCAAACTCTCTGGAATTATTTCCCCTTAATTTAGGGGACAAAATCCCTCTACCAAACTCTTCAATACTTCTGGGTGACCTCTTATTCTTGCTATTACCATTAGAATTGGAATTTGAATTAGAATTATCAGAATTATTTGGGGATTTTTTGGAATTAAGCTCAAAAAACAAGGTGTTGCTGTTGCTGTTGCTGTTGCTATTGTTTTGATGAGTTTCTTCTTTGCTCTTGTTAGACTTTCTACCCCACCAAGCAGGCATCTTAATACCCAGAAAATAGAGAAAGAGGAGAGAGAAAAGGGAGTGTTTGTTTGTAAAAATTAAGACCAACAAAAAAAAGGGGGGGGGATTTATGAATTATGAGAGTTTAGAGTGGATATTATGGAAGATAGAAAAAGGGGAAAAACTGGGGATTGGGGGAAAGTTGGGAGGTGGGTGATAGGCGTGGATTATATGTGTGAAGAGAAGAGAAGAGAAGGGAGAAGGAAAGAGAGGAAAGGAGACAAAGAAAGAGAGAGGAGAAAAACAAGAGAAAAAGGAAGGAAATGAGGAGAGAGAAATGGGTGAGAGAGAGTGGGGTGGTTGTATGATCTTTGTATTTTATGTATTGTAAACTCATCATCGTCCTCGTCAATCATCATCCATCATGCAATTTGTAACATTTTTTTTAGGTTAGCAGCCTCTTTTAACCCTGGTTAGGCATCGTCATTGTCGATTTCGGTTTGGTTTTGAGGTTATTCTCGGATGCAAGTGGTAATTGAGGTAATTCCTCGTGAGTTTTGAATGTGGGTTGTGTCTTGCTAATGAGTCACTCACTTTGATTTTGAGATGGGTCTAGGAAGTGGGTTGTGTCTAAATTTATCGTAAATAACCTACTATTCTAAAATAATGAGATAATAGTATCTTTTATGTATCGTTGTTGTTGTCTGTCATCATCCAACACGCAATTGAAATTGTAAAATTATTTTTAGTTTTGTTTAATATAGTAGTATAGCAGTCTTTGCCTTTTAGTAGATAAACAATTAATTTATTTTTCTTTTAAGCTAAGGGTTTTACTTCTTGAAAGTATTTGAAGTGTTCATTGTTGCAATATACATGTAGCTTATTGTGCTTTTGATCGAGAGAAAAGTTATATCAGTTGCTTTCATATACATCCAAAGTTGGTTAAAATCAGTTAAAGTTGTGGTAGCCTTTTACGTGACACGTTGCTAATTGTTTTTTAAATTAACGACAATTGCAATTTTGGAACTATACTGGCTTATCTAGTTGATTATATATATGAGAAATTGTACTTGTAGCCATTTATTGAGTAAGATTTCATGAAATCTTATCTGTATTCTTTTATATTACAAGTACGTTATTAATTTGTTTCATGGTATCTAATTCATGTTGTAAATGCAAGTTATCATAATTAGTGTAGCACGTGCACTCAACTCGATAATAAAATGTTAGGATAATTAAAAAAAAAAAATATTGTGTTTAGGTTTTTGCATTTTCTTGAATCATGTGCCAATTTTATAAGTTTAAAGTGAAAAACAAATTTACTATTTTTGAATGTTTCATTGAAAACTAAAGCTTATACATTTCCTACATACAAAAATAGATTATGGTTGATTTTCCAAACATGTTTCCAACCACTAAAACGAAGAGAAGGTGAATTGAAGAGGGAAAATAGTCTTTAGCCTAACTACAACCATATGACAATGCAAAGAGAGACCACTCACAAGATGGTTAGTTAAGGAAGGACAAATTGTGGTATGATAGGCACCAAATCTTTTAACACAATACAATTATACAAACATATAAACGTGTATAAGTTACAACCTACTAGGAGTAATGAAATTTGTTTTTTAAAAAAAGGAGTAATGAAATTTGAGCCCAAGTCGATACTCTATGATTTGAGGTAAGAAGACTAAGAACATTGCCAAGTGAGTCAATACTTTAGTCAAATTTAATTATATTTTTTAAAGCTACGATATTACATACATTAATTAGCATATATATTGAATCTTATTTACCGTTAATACACAATATTTATTATTTGGGAAAGAAAAAAAAAACAGATAACGAAGTTCCTTAAAAATATAAAAATTGCACGATAGGTAGTTATCTATCGATTTTTATTATTAACAAAAATGAAATGCATAAAATTCAATTATTAAGACTTCGGAGGGGATGTGACGAAAATTAAAGTTGCAAAAATATACTAAAATAAAAAAACATACAATTATCATTAGAAAAATCTTTATTGATACCGTTTCCATTTCTCATTAATTATGTTTATGAATAATAATTGTAAATAAATTTCTTATTTTAGAGTGGATTTAATTAATTGGAAGACTTTTGATAATGTAAATTACTTTAATGGCACATATGGTGGGTTCCCTTCACCTTGTCTAATTAACCTGATCTTATTTGATATCATTGAATATTATATCAGACCTCATCCTTAGAGGTCAAATAAATCTAAGGTTAATGGTACTTATATGAATTATTGGACCTAAAAGTCATTTATTTAAAAAGAAGATAACACACCCTAACATATACTGAGATGGGGATTCGAAAGCTTATTATAACTATTGCACCCAATAATTTAGTTTAGGAAGAAAAGACTTTAGATTACTTGGTGCTAAATCAAACATCTGACAAATAAAATCACAACATAGATAATTTATGTATCAATTTTTTAATTCACGACATTATATATATTATCTCTTTCGTTAAACATTTTTTCATGTAAAAAATAATGAACCTTGTAACTGTAAAATAGGTTAAAAGATCTTTAATGCACAGCCATAATTGCATGGCATAACATTCAATAACACTTTAAGTTCTATTATACTTCATATTCGTTGACTTTCCACACAATATGTATGACTCACATCCACACGACAATACAAGAGTCATATATTTGATCGTTCACACAACCAAAGCATTTTTACTTACAAATTGAAGTCAAATGTATTGTTGCAACATAAAAAAATAAAATATTATGTGAATAATCTTAACCAAATTCGAGCTAACACAAGTTAATTAGCTAGTTTAAATACCAAGGGTAAGTATATACCCTTACCCAATACGTAATACATTAAGAGTCATTAGAGGCTATATTTACCGATAAAATATTTGAAAGACAAGTCCGGTTGTACATAGAAAATCGCACCAGTATTTTGATTGGAGAGAGAAGGTGGGAGACTAGAAAAACAAAGGAGCAGAAATAAGCGGGATTTCACAATTAGTTCTTCCACACAATTATCAAGACAACTAACAGAAAATATATACCCTCATCCTTTTTCATTTTCTTACAAATCTAATTTTCCTCCATTCTCTCTCATTTTTTCTCTCTATAATAATCCGGAATTTGTGTCAATCCATTTCTTTTACACCATTTTCTCTCTCTTCTTCCTCTCTCAAATTCTCCAAAAACTCCATTTCTCTCTCTGTTTTCTCTCTCTATCTCTCTCTCTGTTTCGGCAACTTCATGATTATCATCTATTTTCATGGCGGACGATTCCTGATTTCAGAGATTACGTTGTGTTGTTAGCTCGTATTCAGTGAGTTTTCTACCTTTTAATTTGAATTTATAATCATTTTGCTGCGAATTCTTGAAATTCTGGAATCTTAATTTTGTTTATAATATTCGCTTTTTTCTAGCTTCATTTTCGTTCATATCATAACAATTTTTCATTTGTGGATTCTGAGATGAATTTTTGTTTGTATCTTACGATTTCTGCAAAATTAGGTTAAGAATTAATTTTAATTTCCAGCGAATTCTTGAATTTTAGGTTAATTCTGATAAATTATTTCATTTACATCGATTAATTTGACATTTGAAGAACTTGAAATGCGTTTGATTCGATGTAATTAAAATTAAATATCAGCGAAATTTGGGCGAATTCTGATTCATACTGTTTTATTGATTTTGAAGATTGAATACCAGAAACAGAGGTGTATGTAACAGAGAGAAAACAGGAGAATAAGAAGAAGCTAGGAGAGAAATAATGGCGGCACCGCAAGACTCTGGGCCGCAGGGTCTGTCGAGGAGGCCGTCGAGAAACACAGCGATAACGAACTTTTCGACGGAGGTTTTCGATCATGAAGTCGTTCCGTCTTCTCTCGTTTCGATCGTTCCGATTCTTCGTGTCGCCAGCGAAATCGAGCCGGAACGGCCTCGCATTGCCTATCTCTGTATGGAAGCATATCGTTCTTTTCCATTTCAGTTTGATTTTGTAATTATGTTTTGATTTTCTTTGTAGATATTATAAGTGGAAACTAATTTGATTATTAATTTGGTTAAATGTTTGTTTATGGGAAAAATTAGGTCGGTTTTATGCATTTGAGAAAGCACATAGGTTGGATCCAAGCTCTACTGGGCGTGGTGTGAGGCAGTTTAAGACTGGTCTCTTGCACCGTCTTGAGCGGGTATGGTAAATTCTCTCTTTCTTCGCCGTTTTTTTGGCGCGCACTTTTCTGTATTTTTTGAATTTATACTGTTGTTGAATGTAAATGATGAAGGGGCAGTACGGGGAGAGTCAATTTTTAAGTGTGGGCGTAAGCTAAAGGAAAAAAAAAATTGTTTTACAAGGTTACAAAAGTAAATTTTTAGCTAAAATTTTGTATTGTATTGAATCACTGTTATCAATTATAGATATGGTTTCTTACAAAAAAAAAAAAAAATCATATGGTTTATGGGTAGATTCAAAGGATGTAGAAAATGGCTTGTAATATTATTTTTTTACACTCACATAATTGTATATAACTGATATAGTTTAGGTTTAAAGTCAAATCATGACGTAATACAATGTGTAAAATTTTCACTTATTATTTTTTTTTTCTTCCACTTTGTAGGTTTTATTTTTTATTTTTTTAAAACAAAAGATTTCATATAAACATTTGGTCCTTCACCATTAAAAATTTAAACGTATTTTTTAAAATTGAAATTTCCATCATTAACTAGATTTTTTTTTATTTCTGACACTACCCATCATCAACTAGATATTAATATTCCTTCAAAAAAAAAAAAACTAGATATTAATACATATTTTGCACAAAGTTTTACTGTGTATTTTTAACTTAATAATAAGTACTCTAACGAAATCGTTGTCTGAAATTAACATAATGGTCTAGTAATTAATATTAATAATAGTAATGTTTTGTCTCCTTAATAAACTAAAATTTAAATATTATTTAAGTTTAGCAAAAATAATTTAGATTAATAGAATTAAGAATGATTCGTAAAAATAAATTAAATTTCTATTCTATTTTTTTTGTTTTTAAAAAAAGGTTAAATTTAGGTTAAACTAAATTAAACTAAGAAATATTCCTTGAAAAAATATAAGTGAATATAAAGTGAACAAAATTTAGCCTAAGTATGAGCTTTATAAAAGTAATTTTGTTCCTCTTTTGTTCATTAGCCATTGCATCATTCACTTGACTTACACATATAAAAGCCTAAATTTGTAACTAAGTCAATATAAACTGAATATATTAATTAAAGGCTTTAAAAATAGGAATTTTGTTTTGTTTTTTTTTTTTTTTTTTTTGAGAAATCAATTCAAATTTTTTTTTTCAATTGGGTGGATAATGAAAAATTATGATAGAGTGCTCTTTGAATTCCATGACTATCGACTTCTCATACTAGCTTGGGGACAGTTCTACCAATCTATCCTATTTGATTATCTAAAGAGTTTTAATATTCTTCGTAATTGCAATTTGCAAATATTCCTTCCGTCCCATAATATAGTTTTTGTTTGTGTTTTTTCACGTTATTTAAGATATAGGAGAAAATCTTAACCTCTTTGTATTTTGGAACATGCTGATTTATTTACAAAAATACCATGTTGATTAAGATATTTTGTTAATTTATTTACGAAAATGTCACTTGATAAACAATTATCACATTAACTTTTATTTTCCCCGTTTTGTGGGGACTGACTGACTGGGGACGGCAATCCAAGAATTTTATGTACAAGAACGAGTTAAAACTTGAAAGAGAGAGATAGTAAAGTTGCCCCTCTTCCATATACATGTCAGAAACTCAGAATTAGCAATATGAAAACCCCCTTCATTCCTTCAATGGAGTTTTCTGTTTCCCTCTTCCTTCTTGAGTGTCCTGGTGTTCAGGAGAATGACATCTCCGATTCTTCTAATTAGAGAGAAAATTCATAAACTGAATTAATTCTCCAATCAGGAAAATCATGCAAGTCTTCCCCGTCGTGTCAAAAAGACCGATGCCCGCGAAATTGAGAGTTATTACCAGCAATACTACTCCCAGTATATTCGAGCTCTTGACCAAGGGGAGCAGGCAGATAGAGCTCAGCTTGGAAAGGCTTACCAAACTGCTGGAGTCCTTTTTGAAGTTCTCTGCGCCGTCACCAAAACTGAGAAAGGCGAAGAAGTTGCTCCTGAGGTTAATTTCTTGAACTTTTCTGTTTTGCTCACTTTCTATTCGGTGAATTGCCACTAAATGCAATGTGTTTTGTGGTGTCATCAGATTATTGCAGCCGCGAGAGATGTTGAAGAGAATCAAAACAAATACTCCCCCTATAATATACTTCCGCTGGATGCTGCTGGGGCCTCGCAGTCCATCATTCAGCTTGAAGAGGTACATAAAATTGTCAATTACTACAATGCTCCGTTTTGCATTTACTGATTTAGAGATTCCATGTTGTTACTTAGACAGTCAACATTCACCAATGTTGTAAGTTCACTTTGTGACATTCATCTCAAATTGGGCCACAATTTCTTCTACATACAATTATATTGACAGATTACCATATTCTAATTTCGTGGGGGCTGGGTGGAGTTTGCTGTCCCTTGAGTGGAGAAGTATGTAAGCTTTATCATGTTCTGATGTTCATCACTACTATACTCGCTGAAATAAATGGAATCCTTTTGGTTTCATTTAAAGAAAAATATACACGGAGTGTATTTGAATACGAAGATTCTAGAAATTTATGTGAACTATTAAGTCAAGAGGAATTATAGTGTAAAGAGAGAATTTTACAGTAATATATTCTCTCAAATCACAAAGTTTAAAAGAGTATCTATAGGTTGTTATTTTTACCTATAAAAGAGTGAACTTTTGGTTTAAGAAGATATAACTACTTTGTAGTTTGTATTGTCAACTCAGCCCCTTTTATCATTATATCATCTAGTTGTGATGATGGTTGTTGCGGCTGCTTTTTAAGATTTGTTTATGTTCTAAATATCAAACTCACCTTTGGATCATCTATATCTCTTGAATTCATATACAAGTAGCAAGAGGGTGCAAGTTAAAAGCAGTAAAACACAACTGATTAGAGATTTTGCTCCTGCTTTACAAATAAGTTACAGATCATGCATTACTTTTGGGGGATAAATATCCGTAAAGCATCTTCTAAGTTTTATACCTATTTTTATGGGCCATCCACTACATAAAGAAATGTTTGTTGAGTTGTGTGTTTCTACCATCTTTTCTCTATTTAGAGATGATAATGTCCTGTAGGAGTATACTTCATTTCTGGCATGTAGGTGTATCACTGCATGAACAACATGTCCAATTGTTAATGGATTAATTACTTTCTTCCATGTCATGATAAAGCTCAAACAAAATGAGTAAATGGTACTTCGTATAAATTAAGCTACCTGTTTTAGTAGACTGTTAATGCAATACCTAGTAGATCATCTTCTTTAAAATCAGAATAAAGCCTCGTTTTTATTTTCCGACACTTTCCAGATTATGATATGCATGATCAAACCATCCACCTCACACCCCCACCCTCTCCAAATATAAACAGAGAATCATGGGTTGATGGGTTAAAGGAAATGCATGCAATGCAGTATCTCTGGACAGCTTGTTTTTACCATTTTCTAGTATTTTCGCAAGGAGTTTCACCATTTTCTAGTAATTTTTATGGAAAATTTGTGAGAAACAACCTTTTAAAGTGTCCACTTTATTTAAAACAACCTTTTAAATTTTTTTTTTTGCAATTTTAGACCACATTATAAATTTTTTTTATCAAGGACAACCAAATGCTACTTTCCGGCGTTGACTATATTTTTCCCGATGTTGACCACTAGTGTGCAATGCACATGAACTCGTTTATTGCTTAATACACCAATTTTTCCTCCAATTCACTCGTACTAAAAGAGGGATGAAAGAGAAGCAAGGGTTTTAATAGGAGTTAATTGGAGGGAAAAGGGGTGTATTAAGCAATATAAGAGGTCATGTGACTCGCACACTCGTGGTCAACATCGGGAAAAATAGAGTCAACGCCGGGAAGTAACATTTGGTTGTATTTGATAAAAAAAAATTATAATGTGGTCTGAAATTGCAAAAAAAAATTTAAAAGGTTGTTTTAAATAAAGTGGACACTTTAAAAGGTTGTTTCTGACAAATTTTCCAATTTTTATTAATCATCCAGTTTGTTCTAGACCATGAAAATGTTCTATCATTTCTCTATACACGCGCATCTTAGTTAGTGAATGGAAGATTGGAAGCATAAGTTGAATTTTGTATCTCAGAATCTGATTTCCCCACTATTATATAAATACAAACCAGGCTGTCAGTTACTCTTTTGGGAGTAATCTATCCGCTTGTTTGTCTCTCTGTCTTCAATATAATGTTTGGTCCTATTGCTCTCTCTTTACTAGGTTAAGGCTGCCATCTCTGCATTGTGGAACATTCGTGGCTTAACTTGGCCACCTGCAAGTGAGCAGCACCGGCAGAGAACCAATGATTTGGATCTTTTCGATTGGCTGAAGGCTATGTTTGGATTTCAGGTACATTGTCTTATTGTGTACATTGGGTGTTTATTCTCCCTTCATCTTTTTCTTTAACAGTAATGAATAAGTTGTGAACTTGGAAATGTAACACAGTGACAAAGTGATTCTGAAAATTGGTCCTTTTGTTTTATGCAGAAAGACAATGTTCGAAATCAGCGAGAGAATTTGATAATACTACTAGCAAATGTTCATATAAGGCTAAATCCAAAGCCTGAGCCTATGAACAAGGTTGGAATCTTATTTAGTTATTTGTCTTTTTTTCATTATCTTTTCCATCTTGCTTTTTTTTGCCTGCGTTGTTGATGCTACTGCTTTAAGGTTGCACCATATGTATTGAATGTAATATCTTCAGTGTAACTCACATTACAGTAATTTTCGACTTTACTGTTTTTGTAGCTTGATGATCGAGCTGTGGATGCTGTGATGAACAAGCTCTTCAAAAACTACAAAACATGGTGCAAATTTATGGGTCGGAAGTACAGTTTAAGGTTGACATTTGATTTCCCTATTATGTGTTTTCTGTTATGTGCTCCTGGCCGTGGAAATAGCTGATTCTTTTAGTTTATATTCTGTAACTATAGGCTTCCTCAAGGTCCACATGAAGTTCAGCAAAGGAAAATTCTTTATATGGGGTTATATCTTCTTATATGGGGTGAAGCAGCAAATGTGCGCTTCATGCCAGAATGCCTATGCTATATTTTTCATAATGTAAGGACTGTTTCCCATCAATTTTCACCATCTATCTTATGAATAATGAATGTAGAAGTAGATTAACAAATGATGATGTTCAGATGGCTTATGAACTCCATGGATTGCTGGCTGGAAACGTCAGCATTGTGACGGGAGAGAACATAAAGCCCTCCTATGGTGGGGATGATGAGTCGTTCCTTCGGAAAGTTATTACACCCCTGTATCGTGTAATTGAAAAGGTAATTTTCTTCTTTATGTACAATCATTCACCTACTGCTGCTTTGTTTCTGTATTCAAGTGCTTGTGATGCTATCCCAGGAAGCCCAGAAGAGCAAAAATGGGAAGGCACCTTACTCTGCTTGGTGCAACTATGATGACTTGAACGAGTATTTCTGGTCAGTAACATATTCAACTCATTCATGGTTAGCAATATTCCTGACCATTCTTAATGCTCACATTTTTTTACATGAAGTTTTCGTCTCTATAATCCAGGTCGTCAGATTGTTTCTCATTAGGTTGGCCCATGCGCGATGATGGAGAATTTTTTAAGTCAACTCGTGAAACTGTAAAGGTAACCTGTAGAGACACTAATATATTGACTCATGATCAAAGCTGACCTGCTTCACATGTCTGATGCTTCAGGGTAGAAAGGTCTTCCAGGACAGCTCTAAGGGCACAGGAAAATCAAATTTCATAGAAACTAGAACATTCTGGCATATTTTTCGAAGTTTTGATCGCTTGTGGACATTCTATATACTGGCTCTACAGGTACTTCAATGAAATAAAGTTGGTCATCTACAAAATATTTGTACAATGCTTCTAAACTTAGAGTTGGTAAGTAATAGATTTAAAAACTGACGCAGGCAATGGTGATCATCGCGTGGAGTGAAGCCCCACTATTATCTATTTTTAAGAAAGACGTCTTATATCCTGTTTCAAGTATTTTTATCACCGCAGCTTTTCTTCGCTTGCTTCAGAGTATGTTTCTCTCAGATGGACTCTACAATGCATTAAACAAATATTTGCATATTTTCATAGGATTTCAACAATTTATATATGTAATATGTACAGTGTTTAAGGATATGGTTAAAAAGTGAGAATAGTAATGTAGACCCCCTGGAATAATTATTTTTTCCTTTCATATAAAGTCTCTTCTGTAAATAGATATTCTGAAATAATTGTTAATATAGATATTCTTTAAACGCATCTTCACATCTGGGAGGTTTTTTGCATATGTGGTGTGGTGTAGCAAAATACAAAGTCAAAAATATAATTAAAATTAGTAGTTTCCACCATTTTACTTTTCTACAATTTTCCCTAATTTTGCTGTTCTGCACATTTCTGTATTAAAATGGTTCTCTATTAAATAGCTTGCTGGATTGAAGCATATTAATCAAATCTAGAAAGTGTAATATTTATTACAATTAATAGCTTCAAGAAAACATTCCCTCTACCTATTTCTTGAAGATAACCCAAGATCTGTCCAATGTTCAATATCCTACATCAGTTTTTTCCAAGTAAAATTATGTGGATTGAAAACTTAGGGTTCTTGAGGTTTCATTATTCATGATGAACAAGATTCTCTTTGAATTCAGTTGATCTAAGTTAGCCATCTGGCCCAATGCTACAGAAATCATATCTCACCCCGTTTTCTTAATTTTTTTTTTTTATTTAATTTTATAGTTCTGAAAGTTTTTGCACCATAATTACTGAAATATAAGAAAAAATGTTTCTTTTGATCGGGTTTTCCCCACCCCCCTTTGTTCTAGGTGTTCTGGATATTATTATCAACCTCCCCATGAAGCGTAGGTGGATGTTCATGGATGTGACAAGAAGTGTCTTGAAGATAATTGTTAGTCTTGCATGGGCTGTAGCCCTTTCCCTCTTTTATGTTCATTCCTTCAATGTGGCACCACAGCAAATTCGAGATGTCCTGTCATTTCTGGGGCAACTTAAGGGTGTTCCTGCTCTGTATATCATGGCGGTGGTACTCTATTGTCTACCAAACATACTGTCTGCAGCACTCTTCCTTTTCCCAATGCTTCGACGTTTTATTGAAAACTCTGATTGGCTTATCATAAGGTTCCTAATGTGGTGGTCACAGGTATGATATTGCTTTGTCTCATATAAATGCTAGAACTTCTTATTTGGCGGGAAATGTTAAGCCCAGTACAATTGATAAGTCTTTGAAGTAAGGAGCACCGAAGTGTGCCCAAGGCGTGCCTAGGCGCTGCAGGACCTTCATCGCCTTATTGCTCCTTGAGCCTTATTATACATTGGGCTGTTTTTATTGAGGTTTCCCTTGTTTGTTGTAAGCTCACTTTTGTGAAGGAGTGGAGAATAATTTAGGCCCATCTGAGGGATACAAAATAGATGCTTTGCAGTCTTGCTTTAATAATGTATTGCGGGTGTGTTAGTTTGGGTGCGTTTGCACTTCAATGTGCAAGCAGTTATTTTTCTTTCCAGAAAAGATACACACCTTTATGAACTCTAATTGACACTCATTATTCCTTATGTAACCTCCTGTGTACTAGGAAATAATGAATTTTAGCCTTATCCTTGGACATCAAGCCTTTTTACTGTTCTGTTACTTGTGTTTTTATATAAATCTTCAGACACAAGTGTCTGCTACTTACAAGAGGTAGATGTGCTAATTTTTACTCATTTTTTTAATCTGTGCATGATTCACAATGTGATCATATCTAATTTGTTGATCTGTCATATAATATGTCTTCTTAAGTGATTCTAGACTTTGAGCATATAAAAATCTAGTCCAATGTTAATGCTAATAGTAGGTGTTGCTTTCTCTTAGACTTTAGATCACATATTTTTACCTTAAACAGGGGATAATTGTACAAAAAGAAAAGATTTATTCACCACTTATCTGCAACCTGAATTTATAATTGAATTTTTATTTTGTTCTGCTTTTCTGTCCCCCCCCCCAAAGGTGGTTGAAGAAACTGTGTCATGCTGAGTTTTTTATTTTTTATTTATTTTTTTTGTCATTTTTGCAGCCTAGGATTTATGTAGGCAGAGGAATGCATGAAAGCCAATTTTCTCTCATAAAGTAAGTGTGAGATAAATAACTCTCTTTGAGCTCCAATATTTTTCAAATTATCTTTTATTTATTATTTCTTGCAGTACTATTAAAATAAATTTTGCGACAGGTATACTATATTTTGGCTACTACTTATGGCTACAAAGATTGCATTCAGCTATTTCATCATGGTAGGCTTTTGTTTTGTGATGCATCTTCTTCTAAGTTGGAGGGAATGGATTTCCCACTCCACTTATTATTGTATCTTTTCTGCAGATAAGACCCTTGGTGAAGCCAACCAAAGACATAATGGACATTAATAAAGTTGACTTTCAGTGGCATGAATTTTTTCCTCATGGTATCTAATGCATCGTTTTTGTGCCTTTTTTGGGAATGCACTTTTGTGATCTTATGCTGATGCTTTTCTTATTTATACAGCTAAACACAATTACGGTGCAGTTGCCTCACTTTGGGCTCCAGTTATCATGGTGTGTACTTAGCACTTGGCCCCTTACGAGAAATCTTTTAATTTTGATGTTATTTTGCTGATTTCTTATCCATTCTGTAAACATTCAGGTTTATTTCATGGATACTCAAATTTGGTACTCTATATATACCACAGTTTATGGTGGTTTCATAGGAGCATTTGACCGTCTAGGAGAGGTAATATTTGTGATCAACATGTACTTCACATCACCTTTTTTTTTTTTTTTTTTTTTTTTTGGGGGGGGGGGTTGGGGGTGGGTGGGTATTGTCTTATTATCTGCGACAGATTTTTCTTCATAGGTACCCTGTGACTATTCCTTATTCATTACCCCTCTTTGTTCTTTATTAAAATTATCTGAAGAATAAACCTTGAATTTGTAATATATTAAATGCCCTTCTTTCTCCCTTTCTTGAAACATCCAAATCCACGTAGATACCCTGATATTTGATAGCTAATTTATCTAGAATTAGTTAAACTGATTTTTGCACAAGTTCTTTTCCATTTAGAAATGTCATTGTTGTTGTTCCAACAGATAAGGACTCTTGGTATGCTGAGGACAAGATTTCAAGCACTGCCTGGTGCTTTTAATCACTGTCTGGTGCCTTCAGAAAAGTCACGCAAACGAGGCTTTACCTTATCAAAGCGGTTTGCTGAGGTTGCTGTCTTTATCTATGTTTTACCTTTCAAATATTGCTTTGGATCAAGCTCAATGGCCTTCTTAACATTTTGTTACTTCTATTCCTAAAGGCTAATGCAAGCAAGAGAAGTGAAGCAGCTAGGTTTGCGCAGCTCTGGAACGAAATTATATGTTCTTTCCGTGAAGAGGACCTTGTTAATGACAGGAAAGGCTTCTGTTCCTTTACTCATTTATTATATCCTTCTCATTATGATTGTTATGTTACTGAATTAGACATACTATTGTTCAGGGAGATGGATCTGCTGCTCGTGCCTTATTCTTCAGATCCTAGTTTGAAAATAATTCAGTGGCCACCTTTTTTGCTTGCAAGCAAGGTAAGTGTTGCTTGAAATATCAAAGATTCTCTGTAAAAACTGAAATCTATTTTGACACTGATCACTTTTCTTGTTTTGCAGATCCCGATAGCATTGGATACGGCTGTTCAGTTTCGACCGAAGGACTCTGACCTTTGGAAGCGAATATCTGCTGATGAATACATGAAATGTGCCGTAATTGAATGCTATGAATCCTTTAAGCAAGTTTTGAACATTCTGGTTGCTGGAGAAACCGAGAAAAAGTAAGTGCTGTATACATTATGTTGGCTTGTTATTTTTTGTAAATTCCAAAGCCAGACTAATCATTAATTTTTCTTTCTAGCTTCTGTTATCTCCATCTAACGCTCCACTTGACCATTTAGGGAAGTCCCTCATCAAATTTCTTGTTCCCTAAAATGGGAAAAGAAATCCCACTTTGTTGTGTGGAGTTGGACACTTGGGCTACAATTCTCTTCCTTTTCTATCACATCAATTCTTACAATCCTTTCTCTCCCTATGCTCTTCTTCTTTTTATTTTTATTTTCTTGAGATGTTTGCCAAAGCCTGAGTGGAGCATTCGATTGGGACTGAAGGAGTACAATGTATTAGATTACTTTTGAATGGAGAGTATATTAGAACCAATATTGCAAACAATCTTTCTTATACTCTTACTGCTGCTTCATAATGACCAAAAGTTGATATCATCAATCATTTTTCCGTTTACTCATTTGTCTTCTCTGTTCATCTAGCTTCTTTCTCTCTCAAGAAATGTCAACTTGAGCACTTGGTTCTTCATTTTAGATTTCAGTTTAACTGTTTTATTTTTAACCAAAGTTATTTTGTTGTTATTTCTTGTGCTGTAACAAGGATCTGATATAATGGCATCCTTACTAATGTGGTTTTCAAGGAACAACCTAGAGTGTCATTGTGGAATGTGCATACACTATATGCTTAACATAAGATCTGTTTGACAGGATGATTTCTGTCCTTATAAGAGAAGTAGAGACAAACATGTCGAGGGGTACACTTCTTACAAATTTCAGAATGAGTGCTTTACCCACCCTCTGCAAGAAATTTGTCGAACTTGTGGGATATCTGGTTAGTAAATAGACATTTTGTTATTGGGCATACTTATAAAATTCCATTAGATTTTTTCTAGTGAAGCTCATTTTGTTCTATTTCAAGAGAGATGGCGACTCTTCCAAACGGGACAGTGTGGTATTGCTACTGCTTGACATGCTAGAAGTTGTTACACGTGACATGATGGTGAATGAAATTCGGTAGTGTATCTGTTTTAAGTCTCCATGTGTTTTATTTCAAATAATATATTTCTTTGGTCTGGATCACCAGATCAAGTTAACTTCTTGCCCTATAACTAATCAAGCATCATGGTGCTTTCAGTGAGTTAGCCGATCTTGGGAATAGTAGTGGCAAGGATGGAAATCGTCTTTTTGAAAATGTAGTATTTCCACCTAAGATTACACCACAGTGGGAAGAACAGGTATGAAAAGATGCTTTTAGTTCCGTCAAACATTAATTTTTAACAAAAACATAAGACATCCCTAGTGATATTTCTGTTTCTAGATACGACGCCTGTATCTACTTTTGACAGTGAAGGAGTCTGCCACTGATGTGCCGACAAACCTTGAAGCACGAAGAAGGATTGCATTTTTCACAAACTCACTGTTCATGGATATGCCACGAGCTCCTAAAGTTAGGAAGATGCTTTCATTTAGGTATGCTTTTTATTTTATATGAAATTTATAAATAACATTAAAGGTCTTGGGATAAAATCATACCTTGAGATACTCATTAACTTATTGGATTGCTTTATCTAAGCTCAATCAGATACTGTTTCGCAAGTTAGTTGGGCTGGTTTCATACTATCCACTAAAGAATCCAAATTTTTGGTAGAGAAATTATTAACTTCTGTTAACCGTGAAGTGATGCATTCTCAATTGATTGCTTATTGCTGTTTTCCTCCCATTGAAACTCGCAGTGTCCTTACCCCTTACTACAGTGAGGAGACAGTATACTCTAGAAATGACCTTGAAATGGAGAATGAAGATGGTATATCTGTTATATACTACTTGCAGAAGATATTTCCAGGTTCTGATACTAACAAATGTGAATAAAAGCTTATATATAGATTACTTCTCTACTTGTGGCAGTAGACCAAGGTATCTGATTTTGCAATTATACCTATTTATTTAGATGAATGGAACAATTTTATGGAGAGAATCAATTGCAAGAAAGAGGCTGAGGTTTGGGAAAATGAGGAGAACATTTTACACCTTCGCTATTGGGTTTCACTGAGAGGACAGACTCTCTGCAGAACAGGTATAATGTGTTACTAGTCTGTACTAATTTTTTTTCATATAAATATACAGCTATATTTTCTTCTGACTTTAAATATCTTCACACTTTCTCTTTCTTTATAAACATATATTATGTATGTATGTGTGTTTGTGTTTGTATATGTATCATATGTACCTGCTGTAATAATATCTGTTGTATGCAGTTCGAGGGATGATGTACTATCGAAGGGCATTAAAACTTCAGGCTTTTCTCGACATGGCTGATGAAGAGGGTGAGATACTTTTTTATTTTTCTATTGCTAGTATTTTAGTCGTGAGAGCATACTGTTTTTGGTAGTATTAACAGCTGAATATTTCAGAATTAGGATCTTTCTCTACTAAAGTAAAATTTAAGTGATGTAATACTCCGTACCATTTAATTTTTTTTAATGGCCTTGAACATTGAAGATAATAATTGGGAAATTGATATACGAGTTTTCTAATGAAGGTCTACATATTTTTTCAGAGTCAATCACCTTTGAACCTCTTTCAATGTTCCCTGTATTTCGTGATTTTCTAAATGAAAGTCAACTTAAGATATTGACAAAATTCTGCCTTAATTCACTAAACCATTTATTGTTTGATAATTGATATTCTCAATGAAATTTATGGACTAGAAAGTAGTATCCAGAAATCACAAAGTTAAACAAGGTTTCAATGGGTTTTCTTTAAGTTTTTGGTGTATTATTATAAAATCATTTATTATGAAGCACAAAATCTTGTTTATACTTTGAGTCATTCAACTTGCAGTTTGTGAGAAAGACTTAATGAGCCACCGTATATTCCTGGAGGCTGGTTGTTTTCTCTCAGTTCGATATAGCTAAGAGTTTGAGCTAGTAGTCTCATTTCGTTTAATCTTAGATTTCTTTCTTGTACTCAAAATCTTCAAACTTGTTGATGAGTTTGTCTGATGTTTTCTCAGAACTCCATTGTCAAAGGAAGAGAGATTGGGGGGTGGGGAGGAGGGAAAGAGGGGGATTTTGAAAATTAGTTGCTTGTCTTAGTGTGTTAGCTACTGTTTATTTCATGTATAGAGAAACAGCATGCCAAGCACTACGATTCCTACTTTTCCCAGACATATAGGCTGTCTTTCCAATATGTTGCTAAAGACATATCTTTTATTAGAGAGAAGGTGATTCTAGAAAAGTGAAGTTCAGGATAAAGGTAATTCATGAGGTTTGGTGTAAATTGTAACACGCCTTTTATGGTTCTAAATACACGTCATGCATTGAGCTTTTTATTTTTCGGAGACTTGACCTGATTTTTTTATTTTTCATTTCCAGTTTGCTAATTGGTAAATCAGCTATCTTGATGATTTAGCCTTTTGTTTTAATGGACAGAGATCTTGGAAGGCTATAAGGCAGTTACAGTTCCAATGGAGGAGGGGAAGAGGAGTCAGAGATCCCTTTATGCCCAATTAGAAGCTCTTGCAGATATGAAATTCACATATGTTGCTACGTGCCAGAATTACGGTAATCAGAAGCGGAGTGGAGATCGTCGTGCAACAGACATTTTAAATTTGATGGCCAAGTAAGTTCAAATTCAAAGATTCAATCTTAATTTTGTATGTGTAGTGTAAGCTCAGTGTCATGTTTTTGTGTCACTCTTCAGTCATCCATCCCTGCGTGTAGCATATGTGGATGAAGTTGAAGAAAGAGAAGGTGGTCAAAAATCACAAAAAGTTTATTACTCCGTACTGGTCAAAGCTGTTGACAATCTTGACCAGGTATACGCCTTTCTTGAGAATTAGTATCTTGATTTCTAAGGGTATTTGGTACCATGGTATATAGACGCTGATTGAAAATTTTTCTACAGGAAATATATCGTATAAAGTTGCCTGGCCCGGCAAAGATAGGGGAAGGGAAGCCTGAGAACCAAAACCATGCTATAATTTTCACTAGAGGAGAAGCCCTCCAGGCCATAGATATGAACCAGGCAAGCTCTAATTAATTTTTGTTTCATGTTTTGAATGAAAAAATGGATAAATAAATAAATGCAATCTTTCTAATTATAGGATAATTACTTGGAAGAAGCTCTGAAAATGCGTAACCTTCTAGAAGAATTTAATGAAGATCATGGAGTGCGTCCACCTACAATTTTAGGTGTTCGTGAGCATATCTTCACTGGAAGGTAAGAGAGTATTCCTGGCAACCAGAAGTTACTGTACTGCAATCATTCTTTGATATTTTGACAGAGGTGTCATATTTGCTTCCTTGCAGTGTATCATCCTTGGCATGGTTTATGTCAAATCAGGAGACGAGCTTTGTTACCATTGGACAAAGAGTTCTTGCAAGACCATTGAAGTATGTATCTCTGTCCCAGGACATAAGAATAATTAGGATTTATCTTACGAAATGAATAAGGAATTACAGGAGAAACACAATATAATAAAGTGCCTGTGTGTTTGATCTTCATGATGTTAGTGTACAAATTCACAATAAACAATTATATGAAGTCTGAACCTATCATGTTACACCTGTTATCATACAGAAATAGTGATAAGAGTATGAAATTCTTTTCTATAGTAATGAAGTCAGAGTCAGTTGCCTACTTGACACGTTTAAGATCTATGCCAGAAAAAAAGAGACTTTTTTACTCTGAGAATCTCCTCTTATACTTGTAGCACTCTTTCTTTCCTTAACATTTTTTTTTACACTAATTACTCCAACTTCCTACTTCCTTGATATCTCCAGGGTTCGCTTTCACTATGGCCACCCAGATGTCTTTGACAGGATCTTCCACATTACCCGAGGTGGAATAAGCAAGGCTTCTCGTGGAATCAATTTAAGTGAGGACATCTTTGCTGGTAAGGTCTTTTGCTTTCTACCTGTATTTGTAATCCTGTTTGCTTTTGTTCTACAAATCATGTGTTTTGTGTGTTCCTTTCTCAAGGCAGTTATCAAATCTATAAGCAACCTTTTCTAATTTGATCCAACACCTTTTGGCTCATATGCATCTCGTCATATAGGATTTAACTCAACATTAAGGCGTGGAAATGTTACTCATCATGAGTATATTCAAGTAGGCAAAGGACGTGATGTTGGTCTCAACCAAATCTCACTTTTTGAAGCAAAAGTAGCCTGTGGTAATGGAGAGCAAACACTCAGTCGGGATGTGTACCGATTAGGCCATCGTTTCGACTTCTTCCGCATGCTTTCGTGCTATTTCACAACAGTTGGATTTTACGTTAGTTCCATGGTAAGCACTTATTCATAGAAGCTGAGCTACTGGAATGCTGGGCTAACATTTTTTTGGTTGTTTGATCAACTAACCAACCATTGATCACATATATATGAAGAGCATGCAGAAAATTATTGAAATGTCACTTGATTCTCATAAAGACAAAATTAAAGCTGCCACATTGGGCAAAAAAAGAAACATAAAAAACTCAAGAGCAGTACTAAGTAATTTTAACTGCAAATATCTTATACCAGTAAATCAATCATGTGAAATATGCCAATATCGGTTTTTTTGATTTTGTAAACCTCAAGAAATGTTTATTTGTATGCCTGTCTAACTGAAATAAGCTGATCCTATGTAATGTGTTTCATCTAGAAGACTAGAAACAGTTATCACTCTTATCAGTGATTTTTGTAGCAAAAGAATTGTTTAGCTAATGTGTTTTCATTTTTTGGAAAAGGGAGGGGGGGAGGGGGTGGTGGTTCTCAAACAATACTCTAATGATAAGAATAAAAGAAAAACAAAAAGGTTGAAATTCATTAATTTACTACATGTTTGAGAATAGTGATCACATCAAATTACAGTACTGTTCCCATTTTCTTTTTGACATGATTCACTGTAAGAGCTGATGATGGTTGTCTGTTTCTGGCCCTTGATGTGATATTTGTAATTTAATCTATAATTTCCCATGCTTTTGCAGCAAAGGTGCAATCCCCCCCCCCCCCTTTCTCAATATGCTGGGTGTTACTGTTTTTTTTTTTTTTTAGCGAGAATGAACTGCTGTTGTATTTCTTTGGATTAGAGAATATGGAGGGAAGGGAGTGAGGAAGAATGAGGGATATGTGCTTTTTATTTGGATTTGGAATTAGGAAAGGGAAGGAAAGGAGTTGGAGGGCTTCATCTTCCTTCCCTTTTTAATTGACCAAATCCTTCCATGACTGGAAAGATTTGGAAGGGAATCACACTTCTTCCCTCCCCTCCTTTCCTCTTTCCCTCCATTTACATATTATGAATGTTGCTAATATATATTAATACATGTTTGTGGATATGCAGTTGGTTGTCCTTACAGCGTATGCTTATCTATATGGAAGACTTTACCTATCTTTGAGTGGTTTGGAGCAGTCCATTATTAAGTTTGCTAGGGCCAAGGGGGAAAATGCCTTGAAGGCAGCCATGGCTTCGGAGTCTGTGGTCCAACTGGGACTTCTAATGGCTTTGCCCATGATCATGGAGATTGGACTGGAGAGAGGATTTAGAACTGCGTTGGGTGAGATGATCATTATGCAGTTGCAGCTAGCGGCAGTTTTCTTCACATTCTCCCTTGGGACAAAAGTTCACTATTATGGGCGTACCATCTTGCACGGAGGAGCCAAGTACAGAGCCACTGGACGTGGATTTGTTGTCCGTCATGAGAGATTTGCTGAAAATTATCGCATGTATTCAAGAAGCCATTTCACAAAAGGGCTAGAGCTTATGATATTGCTTATAGCATATCATTTATATGGATCTGCGGTATCTGGTTCCACAGCCTTTATTCTGGTGACTGGGTCCATGTGGTTTTTGGTTATATCTTGGTTGTTTGCTCCCTTTATTTTCAATCCATCAGGATTTGAGTGGCAGAAGATTGTGGATGATTGGGATGATTGGACGAAATGGATTAGTAGTCATGGTGGTATTGGTGTACCGGCAAACAAGAGTTGGGAATCATGGTGGGCTGAAGAGCAGGAGCACTTGCTATCTACAGGATTTACAGGACGTTTCTTGGAGATTGTTCTTTCTCTCCGGTTCTTTTTGTATCAGTATGGAGTAGTGTATCATTTGCATGTAGCCAATGAAGACACAAGCATCATGGTGAGTCTGAGATATCTATTGTGGTTCAAGCTTTCCTTTCCCAAACACTGACCTCTGCTTTCAAAGTATCTTCTACATATTCATTGTGTTGTGATATGCAGTATTTGATTAATACCTTTCAACCCCCCCCCCTTCTTCCCCCTTTTTAAAATATTGTTCGAACTTGTCATTAATTAGGCTTTTCAATGTTGTGGGATTATGAGTAACTGTGCATACTGCCCTTATATCAAGTTAGAAATTCTGCTAAGTTATAGCATGCGAAGTGGAAAATTGTGAGAGTTGTTTGGCTCACAAAAACTCAGGAAGTGCACTTCCTGGGAAGTAGCTTGTTTAACTTCTTAGAAAATTGATCCACTGGGAAAAAGTAACTTCTTAGAAAGTAAAAACCATTAATTTGCAAGCTCTCATGCCTACTGTAAACATCAACGAAAATTGCTAGCCCTTCAGCTATATAGTTTTTGTTATTTTTTTGAGGCCATAGGCTTCAGTGCTTCACTGCAGACTTGAGGTATTGGCAAAATTTTCATCTGACTATTTTTCCAGCAAGTTTTTAATTTCACTCTCTTTTTGTTAATTTTTTAGGTTTATGGCCTGTCTTGGCTTGTCATTGTTGCTGTGGTTATTATTCTGAAGGTAAGTAACTTTATAATCAGAATTCTGATGCCTATATTTGTACATATGAAATACTTAATACGTAGTACTTATCTATGTGTTGTGACTGCAGATCGTATCCATGGGTAAAAAGAAGTTCAGTGCAGATTACCAACTGATGTTCAGATTACTGAAACTTTTCCTTTTCATTGGCTTTATAGTCGCTCTGGTTGTCTTCTTTTTATTCTTGAATCTGACAGTTGGAGACATATTTGTTAGCTTGCTGGCCTTCATGCCCACTGGATGGGCTCTTTTATCAGTAAGATCTCTCTCTACTTTCTATTAATCTGCCATTCATTTCTTTCTTTCTTTTTTTTTTGCACATAAATCCAGAAGTATCTCCTTACTGGCATGAATCATGCAAGTCATTCGTAGCATTACTGTTCACTTGATCTTACACTACACCTTAGCATCATATGCAATACATCCGACAAAAAAATTCCTTCTCCTAGTGATCCTTGTTTTAAACTCTTGTTGTTGTAACACTCAAAATTGTCAATCTCATTATGATATCTGAAATATGATTCTGCAATTAAGTCCCGCTTTTGAACTTCCCCTCTTATTGTTGGGCATACTTTTCACATAGTTTTGTAATTTGTTTGTTCTCTTATGTTTCATTCTCGTACAGAGTATCAGTTTATCCTGTTATTACTGGTGACAATACTGATTACTGGTATTAAATACTACCTAATATGCATGAACAGATAGCAATAGCATGTAGGCCGGTGGTGAAAGGCATGGGAATGTGGAGTTCAGTTATAGCATTGGCGAGAGGCTATGAGTACATCATGGGGATTCTAATTTTCACCCCTGTGGCAATGTTAGCTTGGTTCCCGTTTATCTCTGAGTTCCAGACCAGGTTACTGTTCAACCAAGCTTTCAGTCGAGGGCTGCAAATTCAACGTATCTTGGCTGGTGGGAAGAAGCAGAAGTAAACACTCATTTACTCATGTGTGACGTGGTATTCTGTTCTTGTAAATGACAGAAAGGGGTTCTTCCAGCAGGAAGTGAATTTCTGAATTTAATCAATTTTTTGGAATATATTGCTCACTGGAGATGCCAATGTTATGTGCACTTCACAATATACTTATCAGCGTCAAGATCTCGGTCAGAGGCTCCACATTCTGATAGTCTCAAGCCGGAATCAATTTTTTCCAAAAGCTTGCTTAAAGAGCTTATTACCATATCCAATGTTTTCTGGATTTTGTCCATCATACATGTAATATGCTCTTTTCTTTTTTCCCTGTATATATGAGATTGAATTTAGATTAAGAGTTCATTATACTTTTAGCCTTTCCCTTGTCGGGGAAAGACAATGCACAGGTAAACAGATTGTAGCAGGCTTCATAATCGTCGCAGATTGAACTGTATAACTGATGTCAAAACATGTAAAGGTAGTGTATTTAAAAAAAAAAAATAGAATAACTGATTCTTTGTGAAGTAATATGCAAGGGTTCAAGCAGTATCTCATATGCCATTCTCTGTCTCATTCTGTGGGAATTTGGGTAGAAATTTCTCTGCTTATTCCTCCGTTTTGTTTCTTCTCTAAAGTTCCAAATTGTACATGATCCTTTTATTTCAATTTAAAATTGTATGACTAAGATTGGCAATACTTTGTGTTCTTTTTTTTTTAATTTTTTTGGAGGGTAAATAACTAAATATTGACAATAATATATATATTTTTTTTAATTCCTTTTATCAATGTAATTAAGTTTGCTCCTTCGTACCATTCCAGTGATAATAATAATAATGATGATGAACTTATAATTACGGCCAGCATCATGATTGCGTAGGTGATCTGTTTTGAATTTAAAATCAAGATAAGTGCAGAATTGTTAGTTTTCTTTAAAAAAAAATAAAAAAAAAAGGGAAATTCTCACCGGTAACACTCAACTTCTGTTTTTTCTCAATGGTAGAATGCTAAATTTTGGATTATCATTGGTAATCACTAATTAGTAGTACTAATTTACTGATAACATTAATGAAACTTTTACCTAAGTCCTTAATCATGGTTACCAATTTAAGTGGAAAATTAGCTGCAAAATATAGTTGGCTGCATTATTTGCTTGATTGATCAGGATTTTGGACTATAATTAATTTTCATATCATCTTGCTCAATGGTTCCTAGATTGAAAAAAGTACATGTCTAATACTGATCTTCATAAACCATTCAAATTTTTGTTTTGAATATATGACCAAGACTTTGAGACGTATAGATTGCCCTCATTTGTAATTGAACTGGTATGGCTTATTCTAAATTCGAAATCAATAAATAGCCATATACTATATTATTCACAAATATTGATGGTGAAATTAATAATTAGTCAAATCGATACCAAAGGAGAAAAAAGGGCAATTATTACGTATCACTTCTTCAACATATTCTTTGTTATGCATACTCTGTAATAAACATAAACTTTTCATCCAATTAATTAATATTAATATCAATCAAAATGGACAGTTTATGTTGAAAAATCTGAATCCCAGTATCTTGAGGATACTTCTGCTGTAGAAAATGGAAAGAAAGACCCTGAAGAAGTCCTGCATAGCAGTGGAAGGATGCGCAATAATCGTTTAGGGTTTAAATAAAGGGGTAATTGATTAAGGAGGGAAGTGATTTTTTAGAAGGATAGGTTTGTAAATTTGTTATTAGTAAACCATGGTTAGTCGATAATTAGGTAAAAATTTCATTAATATTACCAGTAAATTAGTACTACTAAAGTGATTACCAATGATAATCCAAAATTTAGCATTCTACCATTGAGAAAAAACAGAAGTTGAGTGTTACCGGTGAGAAATTCCCAAAAAAAAAAAAAAAACAAATATACGACCTTGGTGGCTTATATTAGAATCATGGTATTCATACCCTAATCCAATGGTTGCATTTAGGGACTAGCTTGCAATTTTAATAATTTTCAAGCTAATATCCAAACCATTGAAAGATATAATAATAGTTGGAGTTGCTCTTAAAAAGAATCTAGCCTTGTTGTTAATGATTTGAGTTGTGTTTGAGTTTTGCCAAATTGCCGCCCAGATTGGTTGGAGCAATAATCTCAACAACCAAACAAATGTCAAAAATGTAGGGATATTCTTAAACTTTTATGGCAAATCAATTGATTTCATCCCTTTCATGTCAACATCTTTTGCCATTATCTTCTTCTCAAGTGTGAAAGACTCGTGAAACTATCAAACAATGAATCTAAATATCTAGTTTTTTAGTGTTATAACTGGTCATTTTACACTATTTAATTTAATTTTTTAATTAATATGTAGATTGGAGATGTAAGAGTTGAAGTCTTTTTAAAATGGTTCTCATTATTAAATGAAAAATAATAAGCAATAAATACTTTAATATATACTTTAAAACCTTTTACGATACAAATATAAAATATATTTAACATTTTGAAGGTGATAGTCATATGATAAGGGTTGTATTATTAATCGCAATTCAAAACTCTATACTCGTTCCATTTAACCAAAAATAAATAAAAATCCTTCTCTACTTATAATTTTCTTTTAATTTTTTTGTAAAATGTGTTGATTTTAAAAGAATTTAGACCACATCTATGTAGTTATGCAGGTGATGTGTGATTTAAGGGCCTGTTCTCTTACGCTGAAATTCAATTCAGTTTAGTTCAGTTCAGCTCAGTTCAGTTCAGTTCAGCTCAGTTCAGTTCAGCTCCTAATTTCCTTCTCTTATAAAATTTTCAGTTCAGTTCAGTTCAACTCAGTTCAGTTCAGCTCAGTTCACTTCAGTTCAGTTCAGCTGAGTTCAGTCAATGAGAACAAGCCCTAAGTTTCTAAATTAATACTCCGTACCCACCAATCATTTTATATTTCATACTTCCTCTGTTCTTTTTTACTTGACCTGTTTCTTTTATCACGCTTGCCAATGCAAAACTTTAACGATCAATAACTTAAATTCTCTATAAGTAAAAATTATAAAAGTTATATATTATGATAATACTTATTAAGACGAATCCAAAAAGATCATACATGAATATATTTTTCCTTACATATTATTCACAAAAGACGGTCAAAGAAGGAGTGGTGAATAGTGTAAAAGTCAAAGCGGGTCAAGTAATAAAGAACGGAGGAAGTACTAAGTATATATATATATATATATATATATATATATATATATATATATATATATACGGGGAGGTTCCGCTAAAAACAGAGCTTATGGTGAAAACTAAAAACAAGCAATCTTAGCCATTCATTACTAGCACAAAAGATCAGACGGTTCTAAAGCCCTAAGATCATTCCAACCTTACATATAATCAATTCAACCGTTTTAAAGGTTTTTTTTTTTTTTTTTTGACAAACGCAACGTTTTAAAGGTCACTACATGCTAAAATAAAGTAACTTTATCTAAATTGACGATATTTACATAGAGTCACTATATATAAAAATAACGTAACTATATACAAAAATAGGGTAGCTATTTCAATTTTTACAATATTTACATTAAGGTCACTATATACAAAAATAGGGTAACTATTTCAATTTTGACCATATTTACATAGAGGTCACTATATACAAAAATAGGGTAACTATAACAATTTTTACAACATTTACATTAAGGTCACTATATACAAAAATAAAGTAACTATATCGTCTGAGTTTTTGACACCATTTACATAAAGGTCACTATATACAAAAATAAAGGTCACTATATATAAAAATAAGGTGACTGAAACAAAATTTACAACATTTCCATAATTCTAAGGTCATTATATCGAAAATAAGGTAACTATATATTAACTTCGGGTAATTATATCAATTTGACACCATTTACCTAGAGGTCGATAAATATAAAAATAAGTATTAAAAAAGTCTATGTAGGATTCGAACCTACATCCCGTGATTACATGGTGCTCGACCAATTGAGCTAATAGGCTTTCAACATACCAAAAACGTAGAGGCTTAAGACCAACACAGATTTTAGATTCATAAACATATTCACCGAAGTCAAGTACCTTTACAAATAAACTCCTCCCAGGTTCTCATGACACAGGCCCTAAGATTATAGGAGCTCCGGAGAAATATTGTCATCATGTATACTCAGATTACCTATGGCAGCCTTGAAACTCAACGAAGAAGGAAACACCTAAGCAGAACAACTTCAGATCAGCTAAACTAAATTTCAAAAGAACGAAAGCAACATACACAACATAATTAAATATCAAAGTAAGAGGTAAGATCAGGTGAAGCTCAACAACAGTAAGAAGATTATCTTGCGACAAAGTGGTGAGCTTAGTTTTATCCTCCATCAAAAGAACTATTTGTACACATGCCATATTCAAGACCAAGCTCAAAATTACTCTAAACTACCCCCTTCTTAAAAGACCTTTGGCAAACAGACAGTGCAACAGAAGTTGATGGATCAACACCGTTGTTGATGAGTGTCTATTGATTTACTGTCACTGCCAGTTTCATATCTTGCTTCTTCAACATTTGATACCACACATAAAATCCATAACAGCAGTAATTGTAGGCCTAGCGACAGAAAATGATATGGTGCTAAAGTAGTTCCAGGCTCACCTATCTAACTTCTACACAGTTGGTGCCTCAATATCAGTTAAATTGATGCTAAGAATAAAGATGTGAAACTTGCAGATAAACTCCATTTATGTGTTAGAAGCATTTCTAATGTTATCAAAGATAAAAGGAAGGTATTATTAGTATTAGCACCTCAGATCAAACTCAGATTCACGTCCAGGGGTGGTTTTCTCAATTACAAGTCTGTCTAATACTCCTCCCTTAGAAGATCCAGTAGCTGACACAGCCATAAGGAATCCCGGTGGTGGCACAATCCTTTACAAAAATAATGTTTATCCCCTGGGCATAAATCCAGAAAGATCATTCCAGTAATAACATAACACATTCTTTTAACAAACCACAGTCAACTGCTCCAATGAGTGAAGATAAACCAATCAAACATCCAAATAAATCAAACAATGAGGATTAAAAGGGGAAAAGGACATCCAAAGTTTGCATCACTAAAGCAACCAAGCGAAAAAAATCATAATTTTTATCTTCCAATTGGAATCAATGAACAAAAAGATTAGAGAGCATAAGTTCAGCAATAAGCATGTAACATGACTAACATCAGTATATTGCTTAATATTTTACCATATACTCCTAAAACACCATATGAAGCAGTATATCGCTTTCTGCATAAAACTCCTTAAACCAATTTCATTTGTGAAGGCATCAAAATGCATCCCATGGTGAAGCTCCTTGTATCCTGCAACGCAGTCTTTATGCAGTTGTCTGCAATCACAAATGAAAACGGAAAAGGTCATTGTTAGCAAAATATTGATAAGGAAAATTTAGAACATGAAATTGAACAAAAATCACAAATGAAAACGAACAAAAACCAAGCAAAATCAAACAGGAAATCGAACAAAATTGAACAAAATCGAACAGGAAATCGTA